ACAGTCACACACCCTTGCTCTATTTCTCTCACGTTGTGATCAGGAAGAGCACGAAAAGCTACTGTTCCGAATGTCAACCAAAGAGAAGTTGAGCATATGATAGCTTGATATAAAGATGTACAGTAACTCAATGTATTGAAGAGCTTGAGCTGGAGTTCTACCGTTCTCTGTTTGCGTCTGGTACTGTATCCATCGGTATGAGCAATTTCATTTTTGATTTTAGATTTCTTTTGTTGTTTGTCGATGGTGCAACGGTTCGCTCATCAGTGGTTTTTGAATTCCTCAACCCATTGTTACTTCCTTTATTGTTCTCAACGATTGTACCGGTAAGTTGTAGTGAGCTTCAAAACTCGGAACGAAAGAATACAGATTTTGATAGTTTCCGTTTTAGAAAGACAAAAACCTTTTCAACTTCCCAATTCTGGTCGGTTCCCTACTGAACAAGTGTTACGAGTATCTCAGATGTCGTTCTATGTTATAATCATGCATTGTTTATCCCTTTTTGGGTTCTTCATCATCTTCTTTTCATTGTACCTCCTTATCTCCGTTCCAACCAAGCTGAACAACTTCACCCGCTTTGTGATTCATGGACATGACTTGACGTGATTTTTCAATTTCAAACTTTCATCATCGTCTTTGAAGATCTGCCATAACTCAGATCTGTCTTACTTTGGGTACAACACCGTCTTTCCTGTTCCCATGCGCATCTGGTTACGTAAGTGGCTTCCTCTCCAATTTCGGAATGGAACCTTTGAGTCAAATCGGCATTCAATTAATTTTGATGACTAGTACGCAATCAAGCAGGGCACATATGACGTTCATTCATTTCAGTCAGCAGAGCGTTTTCACTTCTTCTTAGTATTAATAGATTGTTCGCAATATGTTCAAGAATGGAGAAATACAAATATCTTATTATAAGCATATTCTTCGCGCAGCTGATTGTCCAACTCGCTCATTCGTTGCTCAATAGATTCAAGGCGAAAGAAGGTGGAGAAGAAGCACGGCAGGCTTGTCTTGAGGTTTGGATCCTTGTCATTCGTTGAAACAGTCATCTCAGAAACGTTCTTGTTCTTTTTTTTGAAAATGTTGTAACTTCTTTGAAACTGAATCAAATTCAATGTTTCTTGGGTTGTTTCATATCAAAATTTGATTTTAAACTTGAATCTTGATCCTCAAAAATTTCGGTACCTGAAAATAAAATCAAAATAAATTATTTTTTTAACGTGACGGGGGACGTTCGCTGGCTCAAACTTCTACCACTGGTGAAGAGT